CTTCCCCTGTTTGTGCTCTGTCTTTCTCTCTCTCAAAAATAAACATTAAAAATTTTTTTTAAATGGTTCTTTCTGTATCTAAGAAAGAAAAAAACCCCCCAAACTCCACAACATAATCAAAAACATAAGCAAAGAAAATGAACAAGCAAATAAGAAACAACCCAAATAGAGATAGATCCAGTTTCCCCTAGAACTGAAACTTTGCAGTACACTGTGATCTTTAGACTAAGTGGATGGAAAGGGTTTTTTCTGGTCTTCTGGGGGAGGGGCCTACTGCTGTTTCTCAGGCCAACTTGCCCTAGTGGAGATGTGCCTGGAGAGTGCAGGTGGGTAGGGATTGTAACAGCTCCGTTCTCCATTTTATGGTACTGCTTAGCTCACTGAGGTTGATCACTGCAGTTCAGCTGTGGGTGAAAATGGCTTCACCCCACTGTCTAATCTCTATAGTGAGAATTTTGCACCTTCACAGGTGTGTGATCAATCACTCCTCTTTCGTCTCAGGCTTCCATCCTCTCCCCACCTTTACTCTCCTATCCAAGCTGCTCTCTTGCCAGGTGGCACCTCCCTCCAGAGTTTTATCTCAGATGGGGCTGCGTTTCAAAACCCTACACTTCAGAGACCCACGTGGCTCAGACCCATGCTGATCCTCTGGGGGAGGGTCTTGCTGAACAATTGCCAGGTATTGATTGTCCCAAAAAACATTTGCAGGAGACCACACAGCAGCAGAGGCTCAAAGTTTATGGTAAATCCCAACACATAGCTATTGCCAGGGTTTCTTGCCCTTAGCTAGTGTCTTTGTTCTGATATCAGTAAACATGGCAGCTCTCTGGGGCCTGCTGAGACTTTTGCCTGTGGAGAGGCCATATTGCCTCTACCAAATGCACTCCAAGTAGTGGAACCCTCTCTCCCTGTGTGGCACATGGACCCCTTAGACCACACTACCCGCTCCTTGGGGATTCACCCTGCTTCCTCACCAGAGCACTACTAGGCACTGAGCTCTGAAACTTCAGATTCTGCACTCCGCTGTGTGTGTGGGTTTTTTTTTTTTTATGTTTATTTATTTTTCAGATATAGTGTGAGCAGAGGAAGGGCAGAGAGAGAGAGAGAGAGAGAGAGAGAGAGAGACAGAATCCAAAGCAGGCTCCAGGCTCTGAGCTGTCAGCACAGAGTCCATCACAGGGTTCAAACCCTCAGACTGTGAGATCCTGATCTGAGCCAAAGTCGGATGCTTAACCGACTGAGCCACCCAGGCACCTCTGTACTCCACTATTTATAGAAAACTGTTGGTGTTGAAACCCTCTCCTTTTTCCCTGTCAGTGGTTTTGGGAAACAAATTTCTTCTTGTCCAGTTCCCTGTGAGTGTTTTCACTCTCTCTCTCTCTCTCTCTCTCTGTCTCTCCCTTTAGCTACTTTCAGGGGAAATGCTTTTCTTGCATGATTCCAACACACTGCACTGTCTCCCCCTTCTCTCTCTGTCCTCTATCTGTGAAAATGGCTCCCTAATCTCTGTGGTGCCACAGCTTTTCTCTCTCCCAATTCACCTCTCTACACCATATACCTGCCTAGATCTCTCGCTCAAATTATGCAGATTGTCATGTTCATCCTCAGTTTAATTTCCTAGGTGTCCAAAATGGTTTGGTGTTGATCTAGCAGTTTTTCTGGGAGGAGACAAGCTCAAGATCCCCATACTATGCTGCCATCTTAACTCTTTTTATTCAGAATTTTAACGTAAAATGAAACTTTTTAGAATATCTTAAATATAAACACACCAAGAGAGATTATCTTTTTTTTCTGAATGCTTTTTACTGAATCTATTACCATATTGACAGTAGATCTTGCCAAAGCTATTGGAAGATTTGAGTATAGGTTTTCAGTATTCTTAATACTTTCTTTTGAAAAATAATTAAAATAGATAGCAATAATTGACATTTATTGATCACTACATGGTTATGATGTAGCAGGCACTATATCCAGCACTTTGTTTACATTAAATTATTTCAGGCTTGTAGTAGGCAAAGAAGGCAGGTGTTATATCTATTTTCAGATGAGTAAATTAAGGTATATAGCAGTTAAGTAAATAAAGCAACTCTACGAATGTCACACACACACACAGCTAGAAAATGGCAAAGTGAAGACTCAAATATCAGACTGTCTGACTCCCTAGATCCATCTACCTAGTCTAATGTCATACTGTAGAACTTCCTGCATAGGTTAAGAATAGCTTGTCAATATTGAACCAAACCATCTTTGTTTGCCATTGCATAGAAGATTCTCCCCAGAAGAGAAGAACGTCCTCTTTATTGTTCCTTAATTTTAGCCTTGGACTTGGATGGTAGCCTACATGACTTTTAGATTTTAGTCTATTTTATGACCTAGTAGTTGAAGGAACAAACAGTTTATTTTTTAAAAACTAAAACTGTTCAAGGGATATTTCATTTCTATCTTTATTTTTCATCGTTTTTTTCCTATGAAATTTCTTTTCATGGAGAGCTTTTCTCAAGAGTTCCAAAAATTATAATAATATTAAAATATGCTATTTATTAGAAATTTTGGCATGTACAAAGCATAAGAGACTCTTAAAAACTGAGAACAAACTGAGGGTTGATGGGGGGTGGGAGGGAGGAGAGGGTGGGTGATGGGTATTGAGGAGGGCACCTGTTGGGATGAGCACTGGGTGTTGTATGGAAACCAATTTGACAATAAATTTCATATATTAAAAAAGAAAAAAAATGAAATTTTGGCATGTATACTCATTAAAAGATCTAGGAGATTTTTTTTTAAAGCAGAACATTTCTGAGCCATTTCTTTTTCTGTCTATTTCATTCTCCCCACTACCACCCCTCCCCTCAATTAAGAACTCAAAGGTTTTCAGTGATCTTCATGGATGTAAATGCTAACTAAATTTTTAAAACTTTGGTCAAATGCCATTCAGGTTTTTAAATGTTATCTGTGAAAGGACAAAGTGTCAATTAGACTAGCACTGCTTTCCAAAGAATGACAGTATTTTATACCATAAGCCAGCAATCTGTGGTCTATGTGCTTTCTCCAATTTCTCCACAGGAAATTAGATAGTTCTCTAATGCAGCTTTGAATGCACTCAGTCAAATATTGAAAGATTTGTCCTTACCTACCAAATCAAATTCAAACTTGTTATACCATACTTCCCAGACCCTTATTTGCCTCTGAGGCTTGACATTTTGAACATCCATTGTTTTGGATTGCTTCAATCTCTAGTCATTTCAGATAGCCTGAATCTCTCGGAGGCACCATACTTATTCACACTTCTGTGATTTTCCCCATGATGTGTTTTTCCTGGCATGCTCTTCCTATCTAGCTCTCTCTTTCTCACCCAAGATATCATGCCAGTGTCAACACCTCCAGAAAACCTTCCTTGAATCTCTGGTTGTTCTTAGTGTCCCTCGTCTGTTTTGGCATAGTCCCCCATGCACACCTCTGGCTTAGCACATACCATATTAAACTGAAATTATCTGCTTAGGGTTTTTGCCTTGAGGATAAGATTGGTCTGGCTCGTTTTTACCCTCCAAGCTCCTTAGCACACTGCCTGAACATAGGAGGTATCATACACAGGCGTTTGCATTAAACTGAACTTCCAGAAGAATGTGGAGGAGGCTCTCGGAATACTATCTCTTTCTAGCATGATACGACACCGCAGTATAGTTCTGGGTTTCGGACCTGTCCTCTCTTGTGAGTGCTTCTTTGGCCCTTAGCAAGAGTTCCATAATTATTCGTTGAGTTACATTTGTATTTCCATCCTTGTGGTACATATAAATTACCCAGATCTTTGGGCTGCATATTTCGTTGAATGTTGAGAGGGTAACAGAGGTGGCAAACACAGTGGCAGCAACAAATTCAGTCTGTAGGCATGTTTTGTTTGACGAGCTATGAACCAGTGTTTAACAATGTTTTAGCTGAAAAGCCAGATACCCGGTTTAATCTCTTAAAAACTCAAAAGATTGTTTTTGTAACTCAACTTCGCATTCACACATGGCAGCAATTGCCTGGAACTGAGTAGTGGCTGCATGTTTTAGATGGTTTGCAATGGTCCCTACCAATTCTTGGTGAGTCCCTGGCATGCAGGCTGCATGTCAGTTCTGTTTATCTGCATGCATTGTTTTTTTTTGTTGAAGATAAATATTTTTCTGGAAGGGCAGGAGAGCATCGTCGTTCAGGGTGTGGACTAGGGAATTAGATTGCCCGGGGTTCAGATTCCAGCTCTGCCGCTTATTAGCCACTTCTACCTTTGTGACTCTTACAAGTTACTCAGTGTCACTCAATTTCCTTTTCTATAAATTGGAGATAACAATAAACTCACCTCCTAGGGTGGTTGTAGTGATTAAATGAGTTGATATATGTGAATCACATAAACCAAGTCTGGCACACAGTAAACACCGTAGGTATTAGCACTATTATTAGTCATGGCCTTAGGAAATGTGGAAAATGAAAACAAGAGAGGGCCCTGTGTTTTAAGAATATACGTCTCCAGGGGCGCCTGGTTGGCTCAGTCAGTTAAGTGCCTGAATTTGACTCAGGTCATGGGCTCACTGTTCCTGAATTTGGGCCCCACATCCGGCTGTCTGCTGTTAGCACAGATCCTGCTTCGGATCCTCTGGCCCCCTCCCTTCCCACCCCCCCCCCCCCCCCCCACACACACACATACTTTCTCTCCCAAAAATAAATAAATGTAAAAAAGAGAAAGTATGTCTTCAGAGAAATAAGAGAGAAGTTCATTTGTTGAAGCACTGGCATCCAGCCCTCCTTGCTCATTTATGTTATTGCCTGCGCCTGTAGGAATTTGACCTTGTACCACCTGTGCAGTATGACCCTCATGGGCCCACACTTCAAATTCATTCTTGATTTGCAGTTTAGAAGCATATGCTTTTTTACCCCTTTCATCACAGATGAGAATCAGTATTCCATTTGTAAAGCATGCATGTTGATTTAAAAATGCCAATTGTAATTACTGGTACATTTTATTTTAGGGAAACATGCAGAATTCTTGGATTACAACAGGTGAAGATTCTGGGGTGGGTGAAGCTGCCAAGAGACGATTCTCCCATGGCAATGCGGATATTGTCGTAGGTGCATCTGCTGGGGAAGCTGAAAAATGGAAACTAGAACTGGTGAGAATTTGAGTGCTTTTCTCTTTTGTACTATATTGTGGTAAATATGTATAACATAAGCTTAACATTTTAACCATTTTAAAATTTACCATTTAACAATTTAAGTGTACAACTCATTTGCATTAAATACAATGACAATGTTGTACAGCCATAAACACTATCCATTTCAAGAATTTTTATCATCCCAAACAAAAACCGTTGGGACACCTGGGGTGGCTCAGTCGGTTAAACATCCGACACTTGGTTTCCGCTCAGGTCATGATCTTGTGGTTTCGTGAATTCGAGTCCTAAGTTGGGCTCTGTGCTGGCATTGAGGAATCTGTTTGGGATCCTTTCTCTCTCTCTCTCTCGCTCTTGCTCTCTCTCTCTGTCTCTCTCTCTCTCTCTCTCTCTCTCTCTCTCTCTGTCCCGCCCTGACTCATGCTTTCTCTGTCTCTCTCAGAATAAATAAATAAAAAACAAAAAATCAAAAAACTATGTACCCATTAAATAAAACTTCCATTCTCTCTCCTAACCCCTGGCAACCTCTTCTACTTTCTGTCTTTATGAATTTGCCTAGTCTAGGTACCTGACATATGCAGAATCAAACAATATTGGTTCTTTTGTGTCTGGCATGTTTCATCGAGCATGTTTTCAGGGTTCATCGGCGCTGTATCATGTAGCAGAATTTCCTTTTTCAGGGTGAGTCATATTCCATTTATGTCTATACGACACTTTGTTTATCCATTCATTTGTTGATTAAAGTTTAGTTTGTTATCACCTTTTGGCTCTTGTGAATGAAGCTGAACATCAGTACACAAGTATCTGTTTTTGCCCCGACCTTCATTTCCCTTGGGTATATAACCAGAAATGGAATTGTTGGATCCTATGGTAATTCTTCACTCTTTTTTCTTTCTGCTCCTCAGACTCCATCATTTCGTCTGTCCTGTCTTCAAGTTTTCTGATTCTTTGTTCTGCTGCTCACATGTGCCCTTCCATACCTTTCGTGAATTTTTCATTTTGGTTAGCGTACCTTCCAGCTCTGGGATTTTTGTTTGGTTCCCTTTATACTTTGTTTTCTTACTTTTTTAAAGGTTTTATTTTCATTCCAGTTAGTCGGCACAAAGTGTTATATTAGTTTCAGGTGTACACTGTCTTCCTTACTTCTTGTAGTTCTTTGGACATTGGCCATGTTTCCTTTTAGCTCTTTGGGCGTATTTAAGATTATTGTTTTAAATTATTTTTCTAGTAGGCCTGGTGCCTGTAGATTTTTTTAAGGGTGGTTTCTGTAGATTTATTTGTTTGTTTGTTTGTTTATTATTTATTTATTCTATGCCTCTGAGTAGGTCATATTTTCCTGCTTCTTTGTATGCTTTTGATTTTTTTTTTTTTTTTGGTGGTTGAAAACTGGACATTGGAATGAACTATTATATTGTGATAACTCTGGAAATCCAATCCCCCATTTTCCCCATGGTTTTCTGCTTCTTTTATTGTTGAAGGTTGTATCGTCTTTTTGTTTCGAGACTTTTCCAATTTAATTTTGTAGACTGTTCCTTGTTGTGTGTGATCGCTGAACTCTGTTTCGTTAGCTCATGTTCCACTAATGTTTGATAGATTTCCGTGAATGCCGGGAGCTAAAACAAGTAAGCCAACAACCACCAAAACCACACACGCCTAGGAAGCCCAGAAAGAAGAGCCACCTCTGCCAGTCTTTGTGGATTGGTTCTGTGCTGGGGCATTCCTTCCTTCAGCGTGTAGCTGGGCTTGCTCTCAGCCTAGAGATTAGCTGGAGTGAAAGCTTAAGGTCTTCGCAGGCCCGAGCATGTATCTTCCCGGGGAAGGCTTTCTAAATCCCCTCATATACGTAGCTGGTTTTGAATGTCCTCACTTCCCAGAGTCTCAAATAATTTTATTTTCAGATCAAATGATACTTTCAAATCTTTTGATGTTGTAACAGGCCTTTCTTTTTCCTATTGCTTGAAATCTTATTTGCATTAAATTTGATGTGCAGAATTGATCAATGATGATGAAAATGTAAAAATGACACTGTAAATGGAGGACTCCAGGGGGAGATAGGATGGATTATATAGTTCAGCTCTCATTATCGTCTCTAGGTATTATTGTTAGAGTATTCTGAAGGCTCATATGGCTCTAAACTCCCTCTCCTTTCTCAGCCCCTAACCCAAGCTTTATTCTACTATTTTGGAAAGAGTTCTTTTTTTCTTTTTAAACAAAATGAAAGATTTGTATTTTCTTCCCAGCTGAATAATCTATGATAACTATTTAATGCCCACAGGATAAAGACCCATCTCCCAAGCTGTCCACAGTTTGGTTCAAGCTACCTTTCTGGACTCATTTCTGTCAGTCTCCCAAACATTACTGTAGACATACAGACCCCTCACTACTTACTATGTCATAAACTTATTACCCACTTCCATTTATTAAAAAAAATTTTTTTTTTTTAATATTTATTTAGGTTTGGGGGAGAGAGAGAGAGAGAGAGAGAGAGAGAGCGAGCATGACGGGGGAGGGGGAGAGAGAGAGGGAGACACAGAATCTGAAGCAGGCTCCAGGCTCCGAGCTGTCAGCACAGAGCCTGGCACAGAGTTGTGAGATCATGACCTGAGCTGAAGTCAGACACTTAACTGACTGAGCCACCCAGGTGCCCCTACCCACTTCCATTTCTGTTTGCATCACTGGCTGTGGTTTATGCAGATATCCTGACCTAAACTTTCCTTCTTAACTTCTGCCCACCGAAATACTTCCTGCCTACAAGGCTGTGTTCAGATGTCCCCTCCCGTTCTTCCTTCCTTGATTACACACTTCCACTCCTCCTTCTCCCACATTAGAATTCGTTTCTCTCTTGGGGCACCCAGGTGGCTCAGTCGCTTGTGTGTCTCACTCGATTTCAGCTCAGGTCATGATCTCACGGTTCGTGGGATCAAGCCCCATTGTTGATCTCTGTGCTGACAGTGCGGAGCCTGCTTGGAATTCTCTGTCTCCCTCTCTTTCCGTCCCTCCCCCGCTCATGCACGTGAGTCCTTGCACTCTCTCTCAAAATAAATGCATAAACTGGGGCGCCTGGGTGGCACAGTCGGTTGAGCGTCCGACTTCAGCCAGGTCACGATCTCGCGGTCCGTGAGTTCGAGCCCCGCGTCAGGCTCTGGGCTGATGGCTCAGAGCCTGGAGCCTGTTTCCGATTCTGTGTCTCCCTCTCTCTCTGCCCCTCCCCCGTTCATACTCCGTCTCTCTCTGTCCCAAAAATAAATAAACGTTGAAAAAAAAAAATTAAAAAAAAAAAAATAAATGCATAAACTTAAAAAAAAGAATTAATGTCTCTCTTACATCTCCTCTTAGCGTCGTGTTTACAATTGCTATAAATTCGTTGGTTATCCAGTCTGTGGCAAACTGCAGTCCCCACGTCTGTGTGCCCTGTGTCCTGATCCTCCTCGCTGTTTCCCAGGGTTTTGCTCTTGTGCTGGTCTCCTCTTGCTCTTGCATGTTTCCTCCCTCTTCACTGGGTTTTTCTCAGCAGAACATGTGCTCTACTAGCTCCCATCTTGAAGCAAGTACAAAATATACTCTCTGGACCCTGTGCTCCGTTCGAACTATCACTCAACGATTGCTCCCCTGCATACCAACACCTTCCCAAACAGTTGTCCACATTCATGTCACCACGTCTCCCCTCCCACTGTCTCTTTAACATGCGTCGGTTGAGCCGATACCTCACGTTGGCCTCAACTTGTTCTTTTCAAGGTCATCAATGACCTGCACCAATCAGTCCTCCTCTTCCTCAACCTTGTGGCAGCATTCTAATTATGATACGTATAATGCTCATGTCATCCCCCTTTACTTGTCTAATGGCCCAATTTAACATACGCTCAGAAAAATGCACAAAACAGGGGCGTCTGGGTGGCTCAGTTGGTTAAACATCTGACTCTCGATTTTGGCCCAGGTCACAATCTCACGGTTTGTGGGACTGAGCCCCGTGTTGGGCTATGTGCTCACAGCTTGGGATTCTCTCTCTATCTCTCTCTCTATCTCTCTGCTCCTCCCCTCCTTGCACACTCTCTCTCTCTCTCTTTCAAAATAAATAGATAAAAATTTTAACAGTGCACAAAACAAAAATGTGCAGCTTCATGATTTTGTTCTAATGAGCACCCTCTCTCTCTGTGCCCCCTCCTAGTCACTGCCCCCTCATTCCCTTAGAGCTAATCACTATCTTGACTTTTGAAAATGAAAATTGCTGAAGCAAGATCTCTGGACACTCTAGTTGATGTCTACCTGATTTTTTAAACACTGTAAAACTTGGGTCACACAGTATATGATTTTTTGTGTCTGACTTATTTTGTTTGACATTATGTTTGTTAGATTCATACACATTGTTGCATGTGGCAGACATTTGTTCATTTTCAGGGTGGGTCTACTGTGTAAATACACTACAATTCATTTATCCATTCCTCGGTTGATGGGTTTTTGTGTTGTTTCCAGTTTGGGGCTATTGTAAATGTTGCTGCTATGGACTAACTCTTTCTTTCTTTCTTTCTTTCTTTCTTTCTTTCTTTCTTTCTTTCTTTCTTTCTTTCTTTTGTTTTTTCTCTTTCTTTCTTCTTTCTTTCCTTTCTTTCCTTATTTTTATCTATACATCCATCCATCTATTTTATTTTATTTATTTTTAAAAAAATTTTTTTTAACATTTATTTATTTTTGAGACAGAGAGAGACAGAGCATGAATGGGGGAGGGTCAGAGAGAGAAGGAGACACAGAATCCGAAACAGGCTCCAGGCTCTGAGCTGTTAGCACAAAGCCCGATGCGGGGCTTGAACTCACGGACCGTGAGATCATGACCTGAGCTGAAGTCGGACGCTCAACCGACTGAGCCACCCAGGCGCCCCTCCATCTATCTATTTTAGAGAGAGGGAGAGTGAGACAGAGAGAGAGAGTATGAGCAGGGGAGGGACAGAGGGGGAGAGAAAGAGAATCTTACTTATTTAAAATTTTTTATTAGAGAGAGCGTGTGCAAGCAAGAGAGGGGCAGGGGAGAGAGAGAGAGAGAGAGAGAGAGAGAGAGAGGGAATCTTAAGCAGGCTTCACACTCATCAAGGAGCTGGAGGCGGGGCTCGGCCCCACAATCATGGCGTCATGACTTGAGCCAAAATCAAAAGTCAGATGTTCAACCGGCTGAGCCACTCAAGGCATCCCTGAACATTCTTTAAGATTGGTCTATTGGTGTACATGGCACACATTTATGTCAGGTGTATATCTTGGAGTGGAATTATTGGTCTTAGGGGTGTATAGCTGTTCAAACTGAGTGGTTAAGTTGAGCTTTGGGGTGATTTTTATCAGTTTACACTTCTACAGCAGCATAGGAGTGATGCCTTTGCTCCATATCCCCCCAACACGTTGTATTGTCAGTTTTTCTGGTGGGCTTTTAGTGCTATGTCCTTGTGGTTTTCATCTGCATTTCCCTGATTACACATGAGATTGAATACTTTTCACGTACTTATTGGTGTGCTCCTCTTGTGAGGTGCATGTTCAATACCTACTCATTATTTTGAGTTATCTGACATTGTTTTTTTGAACTTCTTTATGTATTCTGGATACAAGCCCTTTGTTGGTTCTATCTGTTGTAAATATATTTTCCCACTCTGTGGCTTGCCTTATAATTGTCTTGATAGTTTTATTTCTTTCTCTTGCTTTCTATTTTTTTCATTCCTTCCTTCATGACTAAAATTTCTTAATTTTAATGTCATCCCCTTTATTGTTTAGTACTTTCTGTGTCCTATTTAAAAGAATGAAATCTTTTCATTTGTAACTATGTGGCTGGAACTAGAGTGTATTATGCTAAGCGAAATTAGAGAAAGACAAATACCATATGACTTCACTCATATGAGGAGTTTAAGACACAAAACAGGTGGACACAAGGGAAGGGAAGGAAAAATAATATAAAAACAGGGAGGAAAACAAAACATAAGAGACTCTTAAATATGGAGAACAAACTGAGGGTTACTGGAGGGGTTGTGGGAGGGGGGGTGGGCTAAATGGGTAAGGGGCATTAAGGGATCTACTCCTGAAATCCTTGTTGCACTATATGCTAACTAACTTGGATGTAAATTTAAAAATAAAAATAAAAAATAAGGTGAGTTTCTTATAGACAATTAAAAAAAAAAATGTATCCCTGCCCCAGATCATGAGGAACTTCTCTAAGATTTTCTTCTGGAAACTTTATAGTCTTGCTTTTAACATTTAAATCTCAATCTACCTGCAATTTAGTTTTGTATTTGATGTAGTGTGTAGGGGATCACCTTTTGCTCTTTTCCCATATAGTTGTCTACACACACACACACACACACACACACACACATTAACCACTTGTTGAAAAGACAGTCCTTTGTCTGAATCTTTGTCATAAATCAGGTGTACATAGATGTCTGGGCTCTGTTTTTTACTTCCTTGTTCTTTGTGCTACAACCATCCTCTCGTCTCTTGATTGTTACAGCTCTGTATCTGTTAGGGTAGGTATATCTACCTATTAGACTACTTACCACATCTTCCAACGTTGTGCTTTGTCCCCAAAAATGTCTTACTTCTGGCCTTTTTTACTTCCAAATACATTTTAGAATTAATTTGTCAAAGTCCGAAAAGCCATTATGAGGTTTTGATTGAGATTGTCTATTTAAAAAAAATTTTTAATGTTTATTTATCTTTGAGAGAGAGACAGAGTGCAAGCTGGGGGTAGGTAAAGAGAGAGGGAGACACAGAATCCAAAGTGGGCTCCAGGCTCTGAGCTGGCAGCACAGAGCCCGACATGGGGCTTGAACTCAGGAATGGCAAGGTCATGACCTGAGCTGAAGTCAGATGCTTAACCGACTGAGCCACCCAGGCATCCCTTGATTGAGATTGTCTTTAAGCTATAAGTCACTTGGGAGAAAAGATATGTTTATGATATTATATCATCTAATCCATTAAACTTATGTATTACTCTATTTATATAGGACATCTTTAATTTTTGTCAATAACCTTTTACAGTTTTTTTCTTTTTTAAAAAGTTATTTTATTTATTTTGAGAGAGACAGAGAGTGCAAGTGGGGGAGGGGCAGAGAGAGAGAGAGAGAGAGAGAGATTGAGAATCCCAAACAGGCTCCCCACTGTCAGCATGGAGCTCGATGGTTTTGAACTCACAAAACCATGAGATCATGACCTGAGCCAAAACCGAGAGTTGGACACTTAACTGACTGAGCCACCCAGGCTCCCCACCCCCCAGGATCATTTTTAATGTTATTTTTCTCCCCAGTTATCTATTCAGTTATAAAATTCTGTCAATTTCAGTTTTTATATAGCTCCATACTAAATTCTTTCTTTTCTCTTCTTACTGTGTGATTACTCTTGTTTGTGTGTATATCTCTTCCTGATGTAATTGTAACGCACTTCCTCATTGGTCTTTGTTTTCCCACACTTCAGAGTGACTTAAGAATCAAATCTGATAGAGTTTTCAGTGTCCACCCAATGCCTCTACTACATGGAGACTACACGAGTTGTCTGGGTAAAGGTCTTGCGTATTTATTCTCCTCATGGCACATTCTCTCCTGTTCCACCCATCTCTATCCATTCTTCCACCTTGCATTTTATTTGTAGGGATACAGATCTGCTTACCACCCAAATATTCAGCATGTTTTCTCTCTGTGCCTTTTGCTCTGTTGGAAATTAATCCTTTAAGTGTTAGCACTTCCTCCATGAAGTCTTCTCTACCCCTCTTAAGCTGAATTACAAGTTCCCACCTCTGTGATATCCATTTACCTTCTATATGCCTCATTGGAGTGAATTATGTATAATTGAAATTGTCCATGTGTTTTTCTTTTTCTTGTTTTTAATTTATATTTTTTAGAGAGAGAGTATGAGCATGCATGAGTGGGGGAAGGGCAGAGGGAGAGAGAGAAAGAAAGAAAAGAAAGAAAGAAAAGAAAAGAAGGAATGAAGAAAGGAAGAATCTTAAGCAGGCTCCATGCTCAGCACGGACCCTGACACGGGGCTCGATCTCCTGATCCTGGGATCATTACCTGAGCCAAAATCAAAAGTCAGATGCTCAACCTACTGAGCCACCCAGGCACCCCCACCCATGTGTTTTCTATTCTGTACTAGATTAGCTCCTTAAGGTTAAAGGTGTCTTCATCTTAGGGTACCCCCAAAAATGTTTGCTGAACGAGAGAATAGTGGGACACCAACAGACCCTTGTAGCCAGGATATTAGTTTGGTCTGTCATTTATTGTGATTCATAACTTTGCTTTTATCATTCATCCAACACACATTTATTGTATGTCTATATGCAGCAATCACAGTGGGGGATTCTAGTAAGATCTGATCCTTGCCCTCACAGACCTTACAGGTTATAATCGGTTTTTCCCAGAGTCACCCTTTTGTTTATTTATTTATTCATTCTCAGTCACACTTTTAAAAGTAAGACCTGATGAATGCATTTTTCAAAAAAAAAATTGGGGGGGGTGGCAGTGTTACCCATTTTATGACTCGATAGTTCTTTGCAGGTATATAGTCAATAAAATACAAAATTTGGGGTGGACTAGGGAAAATGTTTTTTAATTTTTTAAAATTTTCCTCCTGGGTAAAAGGAAAAAAAATTGAGTTTAATATGAATAATGAAACCTTGTTTGTAAAGCACGGGACATAGAGAAAATGTACATTTTTTGTTTTTTAAAGGAGAGGCTGAAACTTACTTATGAAGAAAAGACTGAAGTCCTAGAATCTCAATTGAAATTTTTAAGGTAAAGTATCATTGTCCATTTAAAATAATCATAGCAAAAGCATAATGATCTTTCAAATATATTTGAATGTTTGCTGACCTGCCAGTCTTACTCAATATAAGAATTACTTGATGACATTTTATGTGTACATAAGAAATATCTTCAGGTTATTAAAGGATAAGGGGGCATAAAATTGTGAAGGCCTTTTCCAAATCACATGTCAAAGAACTATGAGCTAAATTACAAATTTTATGCCTTCATCGGTTATGAAATATTTGTGTTTTCTTATACAAATAAGAAACACTAGCTGCTCTGATAGAAACCATGCTTTTAAAATAAAATACTGAAAATAAAGCATTCTTCTAGTTTTAAAATTACATGAAAGTATTTTTTCTCTATAGGTGTTTGTATGTAATTTTTAAAATTGTAACAATAATAGTTTGAGTATTTTTCTATACGTGATGAATATGAGAACGTATCTACCGCCTTCTCCATGGGGGATACATTCCAAGACCCCCAGTGGATGCCTGAAACTGGTCAGTACTGAACTCTGTACATATTGGTTTTTTTCTGTACATACATACCTGCGATAAAGTTTAATTTAGTAAGAGATTAGGCACAGTAAGAGATTAACAGCAATAACTCATAATAAAATAGAACAGCCATAACAGTATACCGTAATAACCGTTAAGCGAATGTGGTCTTTCAAAATATCTTATTGTCCTTCTTGTGATGATGTGAGATCTAAAATGCCTGTGTGATGCAATGAAGGGGTGAAGGATGTAGGTGTTGTGAAGCAGCCTAGGCTACTACTGACCTTCTGATGATCTGTCCGGAGGATCATCTGCTCTGGACCTCGGTTGAGGGTGGGAAACTAAGCTGTGGAAAGTGAAACTGGATAAGAAAGAGACTGCTTTTTTTTTTTTTTTAATTTATTTTTGAGAGGCAGAGAGAGACAGAATGTGAGTCAGGGAGGGGCAGAGAGAGAGGGAGACACAGAATCCGAAGCAGGCTCCAGGCTCCGAGCTGTCAGCACAGAGCCCGATGCGGGGCTCGAACTCACGGACCTCGAGATCATGACCTGAGCTGAAGTCAGACACTTAACCATCTGAGCCACCCAGGCGCCCTGAGACTTCTTTATATATAATAAGTTTTCATGTAATTTTTGACATGTTTTTTTAAAAAATCCCAATAAAACTTATATATGATAGATTAACCATCAGTGATTTATTATGTGTTATGTGTAGAAAAAGTAACAGGAATTGATTTTTTTGTGCATTGCAGCTTATTTTAAAGAGCAGTAATGAAATATATTTCAATCAAAATTTAAAATACTTTTTATAATTTTAATAAGTCTAATTTTAAATAAAATTTAAGATTTTCAGGCCATGTATTGTTTGGAGATGTAAGTAGAGTGATACTAAGAACCAGAACTCCTGGCTTTTAAGCACACTATCATTCATTTATTTTAATACGCTTTTATGTGTATTAAACCTTTAAACCTTATCCTGATCTCTATGTATATACCTACCTCTATAGATATTTTTGTTTCATGAAGAAACCTAATATTTTTTAAATGGCCTAATTTTTGCATTCTTGCTCTTTATCTTGCTTTATTATATTTTGATGTCTAGTGTATTGAGTCTTCAGTTTTAAAAAAATTCTTAACATTTATTTATTTATTTTGAGAGAGAGAGAGAGCAGGGGAATGGCAGAGAGAGAGGGGGACAGAGGATCTGAAGCAGGCTCTGTGCTGAGAGCAGAGAGCCCAATGTGGGGCTTGAACCCAAGAACTGCGAGATGATGTCCTGAGCTGAAGTCAAGACACTTAAGTGACTGAGCCACCCAGGCACCCCAAGTCTCCAGTGTTTAAATTAATATATTTCTAGGTTACTATACTATGGAAATGTGACTTCTGTTGTTTCATTCAGAAGTCAAATATGCCATCGTTAATTACATTAAAATACTACTTTGTAATGACTTTATTCCCTGCATCTTTGTTTTTTTTTTTTCTTTTCTTTTTTGTCTTTTCCTTTAGTGCTGTGAAGAGTATAAAGTCATTTCTTTCGAAGAATCACTCAAACCACCACTCTCAGAAACTCTACCTTTTTGGTACCTATTTCTTTTTCTTTTTTGGCATTTCAAGTAATCAAATCTACCTCAGTGTTTTGAATCTGAAACTGACAGAAAGAGTAAGCCAGAACCCTTGTTTTGGAATATTACTTCCAAAGGGTATTTTATAAAGCCTTTTGAAAGTCAGACTTTTTCTACATGGAACTTAAACAGAAAACTAAGTGTGTTGGAAAGAGTATCTTGGGCATGGGACAAAATGAGCTTCTTCTCCCCCGCCCCCCCCCCCCATCCAGGGAGATGATGGGAGGGTGGCGTGTGACAATAACCAGGTGTCTTATTGGCTTCCCCTCTGTGACAGCAAGTAAAGGTAGCTACAGCTCCCTGAATTTAATAGAAACTGACAACAGAGAGTTGACACAGACAGAGATCACGTGCCTGCTTTCAGGAGTCCAAGTACTTAAGAGCTATTTTTCTCGCTGTAAGCTAGGAAGTGGGGTTTTTTTGTTTTGTTTTGTGTTTTGTTTTGTTTTGTTTTTTATACAGTGGGAAAGTCAGTTCTCCAAGTTGATTTTGCCAAAGCTTTATGAGAAGGGGTGGGGTAAGGCCACAACCCAACCCATTTTAAAACAGTCAGCAGAGGCAAACCTTTTTCGGGAGTCTCATATTAAAACAAACAAAGTAACCACACACACACACACACACACACACACACACACACACACACATTTCCTCTGTCCTTTCTTTATCCGGCTGCATATTTCCAGTTAATAGCTTATACTTACAAGTCTTATGACTGGTAAATTCTATATAACTTCTTTCTGAAAGACGAGAGGAGCCCACTTTCTTTTGAAATAGCTCTTTATAGAACTTTGTGGTTAGATAATTGCTTTTAAGTTCTTTTTTTTCCTCCTAAGGAAGAACGGGCAATAATAAATTACTCATGGACAAAATCCATGAGCTTTATGTAATCTTTTGAGGTACTCTACAAATTTCAAGGGTTAACACTTGGAATAGGGTATTTCTCTCAATACAAGGATGTTTTGTTATATTGCCTTGCCTCTTTATTAATAAAGAGAAACTGTTGAGGATTTGTATTTGTAGTTTTACTTTTGGTTTGTAGGTAATATAATGCCATGGAGATGGGATCCTTTGAAATGAGAGCCAGTATCAAGAGGTAGACTAATCTGTGTTAAAATCTTACAAGAACTTTGCTTAATTATTTAATATAGTCAAGCCTCATTTTATCCAAAGTGTCAATTAGGATAATCACGCTTACATTCAGGGTTGTGGTAAGAATTAATGCGTTATATACAGAGCACCTCATAAGGTAAACACCCATCAGCAATAGTAAGAGTTACCACTGTGATGTTCCAGGTGAAAGTAATGTTCCTGGTCATTTTGCTAGAACTTTCTCTCCCTTCTTTTCAGGAAAGACTTAGCTGAATATCAGAAAAATTGTGAAGATCTTAAAGAGCGACTGAAGCATAAAGAGTCTCTCCTCGCTGCGAATACTTCTAACTGGGTTGGTGGCCTGTGTTTGAAATGTGCTCAGCACGAAGCTGTTCTTTCCCAAACCCATAATAATGTTCACGTGCAGACCATTGAAAGACTGACTAAGTAAGTGTGCTTCTCCACATGGAGAATTGCATCTTTATTTTTCAACTTTTTTTTTTTTTTTTTTTGGGACAGAGAGAGACAGAGCATGAACGGGGGAGGGGCAGAGAGAGAGGGAGACACAGAATCGGAAACAGGCTCCAGGCTCCGAGCCATCAGCCCAGAGCCCGACGCGGGGCTCGAACTCACGGACCGCGAGATCGTGACCTGGCTGAAGTCGGACGCTTAACCGACTGAGCCACCCAGGCGCCCCGAGAATTGCATCTTTAAAGGAGCGCTGTGTCCCTTTATCCCCGTGCTGTCTCACATGCGATTGACCCTGAGCTTCGAGTGAAATGGACTGGAAACGGTCCCTTCATTAGAGCTTTCTGGAAGACAGAATAGCTGGGTTCTGCCAGGGTTGTGCGATCAGGTCATTTCGGACGAGTGGTCTTACCTCTCTAGGCTTCAGCCTCATCTCGAAGTGAGAGAATGGACGTAAGGAATCTTTACAATTCCCTGCATGTCTCTGAACCTATAACTGCAAATCCAGCACTATTCTTAACAAAACCGAGTTTGTGAGGCTCTCTTTTGATGTTGTCAAGTCCTGGACTTCGTGCTGTAGTGTAGGTAGAGTGAGTTCTTATCACGTCTTTGTCTCATGCCTGCAGTGAAGAGTATTACCAGTGCATTGGAAGAAGGACTCCCTGTGTCCCAGTATCAATATTTGAAGATCAACTAAGGACAAGTTACAAATGACCTTTCATGTAGTTCATCTAGGCTGAAATATGACAGTTCTCTGTGTATATCCTTTTTGTCCCATTTTCACTATTTCAGGGAGGTGTTTTCCCGTGGAAAGGTTATCCTGCGCACTTGAGAATTTTTATCTACGATACTGTCCGGTGGTGTTGGTTCTTATTCCCTGTGCTCAAGGTCACCCCTGTCTGTTTGAACTCATTTAAATAGCTCAAACAGCACCACCTCTGAGAAGCATTCTCTGGCCAACCTCATCCCACCTGGTCTTCAATTGATTTAGGCTCCTGTCTTCCATGATTTTATAATATGTTGGAGGCAGCACGTGTGATCTGTTTTTGTCTGTACGCCTGGTGTCTAGCAGAGGACCTGGCCTGTGGTAGACGCTCCATGAGTGTTTGCTGCTCGCAGGACCAGGCATTTTGGCCTTTACTGCTCAACAGTCAGAGATCCTACTGTTGGAACGGGCGTGGAGAATGGAAAGACTGGTTCGTTGAAGTCAGACCAGTTTTACTCTATGTTTTGACCTTTGGACAAATTACTTCTCTGCATCTGGTTTGGGGATTTTACGGGGACGCTTAGCCTTGGGGCCAGAGCACTAGCTTTTGCGTCAGACTGGCTGCTGAGACTAACACTCTATTCTACCACTAACTACCTGTGTAACCTCACGAAAATTACTTAACCTCTCATGCCTCAATTTCCCCATTGTTAAAATGGAGGTAAAAGTACCTAATAGGGTTATTTTGAGGTTTCATTAAAAGAATACCATACACTGCTTAAGACAGTTCCTACCAGTGATGTGAATAATTCAAAAAACAACAAAAACACACCAAAAAAGCCCAGTTTTTTTATTATTTGGCAGGCCAGATAATAAATGCTCCATAGATATTAAAACTCCTCTGTACCTCTCCTGTTCCAAAAGAATCAAAATGCCATGGTTTCCACACGTGATTAACCTGTTGGTTTTGGATAAAAACTGAATTTCTCCAGTATGGACTGACTGGTAGGTTTTACGATCTCAGCTAATGGTTCTGCTTTTTGTTATATTATATTATTAAATATATTGTTAAGTTATTCTTATAGATTTCACATAACTGTGAAATTTATTAAATATATATTAAATATATTTTCAGATACAACTACCATGTGGTATACGTTTATATATGTCAAGGACTCTGCCAGGCTGTTTAAAAACATAATCTTTTTTAATCTTAGTAAAGCATTCATGAGGTAAATATTATTAGCTCCATTTTGTGGCTAGGGAAACTGAGACTCACATAAGTTAAAATTTTTCCTGTTTACTTTTGAAAAAAAGAGACTTGTTTCACAAAAACAAATTCAAGATGGTTTAAAGACCCAGATCTAATTCAGACTATAAAAATATTAAAAGAAAATGTAGAAAATTATTTTCATGGCGTTCAGCTAAAGCCCTGTGCATGGTATGGAAAATGAATGGCATAAAGGAAAAAGGTTATACCTTTAACTTCATTTAAAAAAAGTGTTTTCCTTTTAAACGTTTATTTATTTTTGAGAGAGAGAGTGTGCATGCGTGCGCTCATGTGGGGGAGGGGAAGAGAGAGAGGAGGACCGAGGCTCTGAAATAGGCTCTGTGCTGACAGCAAAGAACCCAACACGAGCCATGAGATCATGACCTGAGCCAAAGTCAGATGCTTAACCGACTGAGCCACCCAGGCGCCCCCAAAAGAAACTTTTTATGATACAATAATACAAATTAAAAGACTAGGGAAAATATTTGCATGTTACATAACAAACAGTTGGTATAATGTATAAAGAACATCCTTTGAAACAAACACAGAGGACAAACTACCCAGTGGCAAAGCAGATAAAGAATAGGAATGGTGAGCAATGAAAGAGGAAACTGTCAACGTAGGAGAAGGTATTCACTCTGCTTTCATTCAGGGAAAGACAGATTCTTTTTCAAAACCAACCCATCAAATTGGTGAAAATTAAGGAGATTGATAGTGACAAGTACTGGTGAGGCTATGAGTGAGTAATATTTAAGTTGTGTCTTACATATTTCAACATCACCCCCAAGGAATATGTATATGCAAAATGGAGTAGTTTCAGGGAATGCTTTTACAGCGTTATTTGTAACAGTATTGTGATATCAGAAAAACATATTTTGGTCTTCATCTCTAGTTCCTGGCATATAGCTCCCAAAATCCTTATAATTTCTTGGGGTGCCTGGTTGGCTCAGTCGGTTGAGCATCCGACTTCAGCTCAGGTCATGATCTCACAGTCCATGGGTTTGAGCCCCGCATCAGGCTCTGTGCTGACAGCTCAGAGCCTAAAGCCTCCTTTGGATTCTGTGTTTCCCCCTCTTTCTACCCCTCCCTGGCTCATGCTCTGTCTCTCTCTCTCCCTCTCTCTCTCAAAAATAAATAAACACTAAAAAAAAATTAAAAAAAAAAATCCTTGTAATTTCCTAAATGGTAAGAACAGAAGGAACATCCTTTGTTTGGATTTTGTCCCTTGCTCCTGAAATAGCTGTGGAACATAAAGGTGAAAGGAACATCTTTCGTTTTTCTTAATAAGCTCCTTTCAACCACACCTGGGTTTATGTTAATAAGATGACTTCTGGAACCCCAGTACGGATGGGTGTGCCGCTTGCCAGGGGAAGCATCCTGGTGAGTAGAGATTACTCCCCAATCTCTGGGAAATGGGCAGGGACTAGAGATTGAGTTCAATCACCAATGAGTAATGTTTTTATCAATCCTATAGAACCCCCTATAGAACCTATAGAACCCCATGAAAACCCTAAACCATGGGATTTGGAGGGCTTCCGGGTTGGGGACCAAGGTGCTGGGAGGGTGATGCCCAGAGCGAGCACAGCAGCCCCACGCCCTTTCCCACATACCTTGCCCTGTGCATCCCTTCTATTTATTTACCTGTTAGTGAATTGTATCCTTTATAATGAATGGGAAAGAGTAAGTAAAGCACTTTCCTGAGTTCTGTGAGCTGTCATAGCAAATTATCAAAGCTGAGGAAGGGGTCAGGAGAACCCGTGATTTACGGCCAGTTGTTCAGAAGTACAGGTGACAAGATGGGACTTGAAAGTGGCACCCAAAGCCAGCAGACAGTCTTGTGGGGCTGAGCCTTACCCTGTGGGGTCTGTGCTGACTCCAGGAAATTAATGTCCCCACTGAGCATCAGGGTCAGTGTCAGTATCTGACACCCCCCACATGAGGTGTCAGAAGTGTTGTGAGTATAGAAACTACAGAAGAAACCAAAAGTGTTTCTTTTGGATGTGAATAACTAAATATCCTTCAGAGTTTTGCATCTATTATGTTATGCACAGTAAAAGAAAAAAAGAATGAAATAGATCTAGATGTGCTAATGTGGGACTAAGCTCCACAATAGATTTTTGAAGGAAAAACATAACACACATGTGATACACATGTGATACATGAAAAAGACACATGTGATACAAAACTGTTTGTATTTTTATTTTTGTAAAAGTCCATACACAGCCATACAGTATATTTTCTCCAGGTTCATACATACACATAGAAAAAGGCTTAAAAGGATAAACTCTCAGTACTTAACAGTGATGACCACTGGAGAGGTGGAAGAAGGCACTGAAATTGAAAGTGTGTGTCGAATGGGTCTTTAACCACATTGGTAATGAATTTTTCAGGGAGAATGTAATGAAAAAATTAACTTAAAAAGGGCAAAAAGCATATTCAAAGTCACACAGATGAAGAGAGGCAGAGTTTAAGTAGCCAAGCACAACCAAACCAAAAATTAAAGGCAGGGTTTCTTTCCCTATTGCCTTTCATATTACCCTTGTAGGTCATGAGAAAAGTATTTTAAGAGGAAGCTACAATGTTTACATTGATTTCAAGACTGGCAGTCATTTAGAAATTAGATTCTTAGTTCTGTATTCCTTTGTCTCTATCCTAAATTTCAGCTCTTCGCCTTTTAAAATAAATGTCAGCCTTCTCCGTTCAATTTTCTGCTTTGTCAGCACATCATTGGCTCCTGTTCTACTTTAATAACAGAGTGCAGTGGAAGGTCCCTGCTTTTATTGTCAATGAAACCTTTGTCTAGAGGAGTCCTTTGGCCAAAGCTGGTGTTCCACTTCTTTCAATGTGTTAATGCAGAATGCTGAATATTGAGTGTTAGGCTCACTTGGAAGAGGGGCCAGCACTCTTTAGGTCTGGATTTCTAGTTTCATGTATAATTAGAAGGTTGAACCCTCAGTGAGCTGTATCATAGAATTCCCTGCATGACACTAGGATGGAATTAAA